AGGCTTCAAATGGGGTAGTAGAAGGCATAAGTGAGGTTGAATACATGTATTCCGAAAACAATGGGAGAAATGGGGGACTGAGCGTGGCCCGAAGGCCAGCCCACGTGAAATGGGCCTAGACAAGTTCTAAAGTGTCCACCAAACGTCAGATAGTTACATAAACAAAGCATTACAACCCTGTTTTCTGTTGCAGACAATTTTAGCGTGGTATTCATGTTGAGTGTATTTATTCACTACAAGAGAAAGAGGATGATAGCCTGATGGGATTCATAAGTCAGCTCACCCTATTAAGGCAATTTAGCCGCCCATATATCCACGGCCAAATCCTCTGCTCAACCAGAGCATTACAATCCTCACGCTGTAACGACTTTGACAACTAGGTTACGAGACATTTCTGTGTCATGCCCACGGGGTTCCCAAAGTACTGGGAATACCTTTTGACACAGTCCGCCCTACTCACATATTTACTTGTTCGCATCGCAATAACTCCACATTACTATTTTGATGTGCATCTCATACCAAAGCCAATAAGTTTGAACGAGGAGTGATACAGAAACCACCTTGGATGACTCATGTTGACATGGCAAATGCACAAACAGTCCACTCTTGCACAGTCTAACAGTGCAAAGTCAACGAAATTAGTTAATGTTGAATGCTGGTAGAACTGTGGGCGTGATGAAGTTGATGAAGTGCAACAAACAAACAAACTTCGTCCCTGCTCCATGACCGTTCATCCTCCAACTACCTCTGACTCAAGAATTGTTTCCTAAGCTTCAATTGTTTTGTGATAGGGTTGTCCAGATATAGGCACACATTAGTGTGCCGAAATTCGATGGACTGCAATTACGGATAGGTGAATTAACTGACGATGTACCTGCTTTCAATTTCGTTCACTGCCACTCACCTATACCATGCACGGTAGGACAGCGTCTTCGAAACTACCTGACCATTTGAACATCCCCTATAGGGTGAACAAGAAAGGAGTATATTTGGTAGAAAGTAAAAAGTAAGGAAAGAAACAGTGTGATGATCATTCAGTTGTTCCCATTAATTGTATAATCGGAGGTGAGAGTAGAGGTGAAATTTGGACTGATTGTGGATTCTCGTGGCCGTAACAAAACCAAATGCACATGAGTTCCAGCATTACGTAGAAGCTTGACAGCAGCATCATGCGTGATATTGTCCAAGTCTTGTCCATTAACCTAAAGAAAAATGTCAAAAAAGAGACGGTAAAGGCACCGATGAAATGCTAATTAGATTGCTATTCGTCTTATATCCCTCCACTTTTCTTTTTGGTTTTTCTTCTCTCCAAATGTCAGTTGACTTCAATGCGGTTCAAAATTTACTGCATCACAGACTGTGCTGCACACAGTCCATGACACCAGCTGCGCTATGATGGATGAAGATGCAACCCCAAGGAGAGAGGTAATTGCCTTTGAGAAATGGGAATCTGATGAACCAGTACAATTATCACTAATCAATCAGTTGGGTGCTAGTTCAAACAGACCGACAAAAATAGCGGGAATAAGTAGGACTGGTCACTGGGTGAGGAGACGTCCCCTCGGTTAATAAAAGACTCAAAGATAAATAAGTGACTAAACGCTTAAATAGGCCACCTGAAGAAGCCGATCGCCAGGCTGGATTTGTCCATCCTCCTCAGCCAGACCCCCTGGGGTGATTTTTGTCACGTAGATACCGCCTGGATAGTCTTCACATGCCTGGCCCCCAGCTATGGTAAATCCAAGGCCAACACCCACCGATGGCTTCAACAAACTTACCTATAGTAAAACCATAACAATGGAGATTCACTTTTACTGTAGGAAAGTAGAAACACTAGAGTAAAGGAGTCACCTCATAATACATGTCTTCAACTGCGGTGCCTTCATCATTACTACTGTTGGGTGAGGCAACGTTTGTAATTGGTGCGTTCAAGTCACCATCAGATAGGGCAGCCTCAGGGCCGGTGTATCGTCGAATGATCTTTCAAAACAAAAAAACTTATGGAGTAAATTTAAGGCCTGGAGATTC